CGCCGGGTTCTCACCGGACCAGGCTCTCACATCACCAAGCGCGAAGCGCCTTGAGATATTCGGCGAGTCGCATGAAGGGTGTGCTGCATCCTGCTAGGGGTATTCGGCATCTTGTGCTTACTTCCTTGCGTACGGATGACAGCTGCGTATGACTTAATTTATTTTCTGGTGCTTTCACTTCCTGAGACAGTTGTAAGCACTGTGTAACTGCCTCGAGGGTGCTTGACCATTTTAACACAACGTGGTGCGATCATCCCCCTTGCGCGGAGTGAGGGTTCTCCACCCCGCACAACATGATCTACTCGACCACCATTATGGTTACCGCCAAAAAAAAAAACGGAGGTAAAAAAAAAAACGGTAACCTGGTTGCCGAGTTCACGAAGTGAATTGGCTTGTTTTACAACGTCGTTGCCAAGCGACGAAAACCCAATCCCGATGGCAAACGGGAGGACCAGGGGGTGGGTGGGTGTACTCATAGTCGTGCATGCCGTAGTCGTTAGACCATTTGACCTCGCATCCCTACAAAGCCGGGACGGAGCACGCCGGGTTCTCACCGGACCAGGCTCTCACATCACCAAGCGCGAAGCGCCTTGAGGTATTCGGCGAGTCGCATGAAGGGTGCGCTGTATTCTGCCAAGGGTGTTCGGCATCTCGTGTTTACTTCCTTGCGTACTGATGACAGCTGCACATGACTCAACTTATTTTCTGGTGCTCTCACTTCCAGAGACAGTTGTTAGCCCTGTGTAACTGCCTGGAGGGTGCTTGACCAAATCAACACGGCCGCCCCCCTTGCGCAGAGTGAGGGTTCTCCACCCCGGACAACATGATCTACTCGACCACCATTATGATTTCCGCCAAAAAAAAACGAGGTAAAAAAAAACAAACGATAACCTGGTTGCCGAGTCCACGAGGTGAATTGGCTTGTTTTACAACGTCGTTGCCAAGCGACGAAAAACCCACCCCGATGGCAAACACCGGGGGAGGGGGGGGGTAACATCTGGCGTCACCTACGGTAGGTGACAACCTTCCCATGTGGCGAACGCGAGAGACAGAGGATACTCCCCTCTTGGTACGTAATTCCGAAAGTGCAACACCCGGCCCCAACGACCACTTCGCTTCGCGGATTCCCGAGTTCGGCGTCTCTCTATCTTTTAGAGCTGAATCTCTAGAGTTTATGGGGGGGCGTGTACTCATAATCGTGCATGCCGTAGTCGTTAGACCATTGACCTCGCATCCCTACAAAGCCGGGACGGAGCACGCCGGGTTCTCACCGGACCAGGCTCTCACATCACCAAGCGCGAAGCGCCGTGAGATATTCGGCGAGTCGCATGAAGGGT